AGCCATCACACGCCCAGCTATTTTTAAAAAAATTTTTTTGTAGCAATGCCGGTCTTAGTATGTTGCCCAGACTGGTCTCAATATACACATATATATTATATTATATTATATTATATTATACTATATTATATTATATTACATTACATTACATTTGCGACAAATATCGTGATCGCAATGTTCTCCGATTTCGAAATGAAGTTTGCTAAAAATTAAAAATGATTATGAAATATTCATGAAAAAACTCACTTCAAATTTAGGACTAGAGTTATATGTAGTAATTTCCAAGTTGCTCAGGTCAATAGAAATTTCAATCCACTCTGCAAACCTTAAAAATAAATAAATAGATGAAACTCAAGATAGTTAAATTTAAGTATTTAGTGTTTAATCGTCTTTGGTAATATACGTTTTTTTTAAAAACAATCCGAGTAAGAAATTAATCTTTTATTAATAAAGTCATTTTAGAACTCTAGCCGATTGCTTTTATTATCTATCTATCTATATAAAAATGAGTGTCTGTGCGTATGTCCTTATTAATATGTCTTATACCCTACAACCGAAATCTATGAAACTTGGCATATAAATAGTTCAAAGCACGAGGAAGATCACTGTCGACATTAGAGCATTCTACGACAATTAGTTCCAGCAGGGTGATCGAAAAACGAAGTGGAGTTTTCTGATTGGTTAAGCGTTCGCCATTGTTTTAAATTTAACGAATCAATTTCTACAAATTTCAAGATACACCAGTAATAATTGCTAGCTTTGATCAAAAAATAGTTTATTGCACGTATTTAAGTATTTAATTAGTTTATACTCGTTATGTCAGATGAATTCATTGAACATTATGTGGTAACACGCGTAGTTTACGTCATCAAATAAACTTTGTCTGATAGTTCTCACGAGTTCTTATTTTATTTATATTAGTTCTTTTAAAAGTGTTTTTAAGAATTACTTATTTAAAAGCAGTGGTAATGGAATAGAAAAAAATACTTATGTATTCAAAAGCAAAAATTAATGCGAAAGTGGTACTCATTCATTTTGTCTCCATGTATCGCAAATGTGAGTTAGTTCCATTAAAATGTCTTCCACGAACGCAAATTTCTCTCAATATTTCATCCAGGAGATCCTTTGTCTTCTGGATTGGGTTCAAAATTACAAGGCTGTGGATGTTAACGTTGGTAGTCGTAAACCCAAAATGGGGTCGGCTATTCAACGAAGGTTATAAAATTAAATATAATTTATTCAGAGCCGTTGGGGCTCAGGAGATAGAGCGTTCGCTTTCCTAATGAGGTGAGCCGTGTTCTAACCCCTCCGATGACTGGCCAATACGAATTCAGCACACCGACCACAGTGCTGATGTAAAATATCCTCAGTGTTAGATGTAGATGGATCATGGGTTAGAGACTCTTTGCCATCAGGCTAACCGTGGGTGGTTTGCGCGGTTTCCCTCTCCATGTAGCGTAAATGCGGGTAAGTGCCTTCAAAAAGTACTTTAAGGCAAATATTTTCATAAAATGCTCCAATAAGGAATTTGTTTTAATCCCCAATTTGAAGTTCAGGAGACTTTAATAAAAAGAAAGTAATAAGACTAAATTAAGAAAAACAAATTAGAATAAAAAAAGAGGAAATTATTTCAAGATTTTCATAAGTTTCGTTTTGCACACAATCGCTTAGTGCTTATTAAAAAATATTCATTCCAGTTACATGATTTTTTATACCGTGTAAGGAATGATAAGAACGGTAATCACAGGAAATGAAAAGTTTTATTATGAAATTTGATCCAGGTAAAAGGACGTCATGTATCGGTCAACGTTAATACGTAGATTACAATTTTTAAAAGAAAATAAATTCTATTGATTTCAAATTATCGATTTTATAGGTCGACAGTGTCGTATAATCACTGATATTTTTAAATATTATCTTTTGATTTCACGTCAGAAGTAAAGTTTAAAAAATATATACAACGGTGTTTTCAAAAATGTTTTTTAACCTGACAATTCCTCAAATATATCAAAATATATTTGGTTGTTGGGTAATTTATCATAATAGGAAACTATCTCTGAATTTCAGCATTTATATAATATAGTGGTGATTATAAATTAACCTGTAATATTAAAAACATATAAGTATCCCTCAATAAGAAATAATATGAAAAAAGTCTGTCCTCTTACATATTACTTTCTTCTTCATCACCACATCTCCCCTAAAAAGAAATTAAAGCAAAAATTTCTCCTAAGAAATTTTTTAAAATGGTTTGAAGAAAATTAAAAGAATAAACATAAAATGTAATCTTGTACATAAAAAAGACAAAGTTATCACTCCTACTTCTCTTGTACTTAGAAAGCTAAATATAGACTTTACTTTTAATTATTGATGCTGTTACTAATGTTACTTGTCAATATCAGCACGCCTGATATGGAAGACCAAACGAATTTAAAGGTAGGGGAGTCTTTCCCTTGAGTGGTTTTATTTATGTCAATTTCAGCAACACACACAGCCCGTTTTACAGGCCAATTCATTCATAAACCGATAATAATCTTGACCTTAGGCAGAGAACGATCAATCTTAAATTCCCTCAGTACTCTTTTAGAGGTATTTATTTGTTACGAAAGCTTAGAAGACTTTGTGTCTCCGACAGATTTAACATGTGCCAGTCGCTATTCAATACAAGGGAATGCTTCGACTGGTGGGATTCGAATATGCGATCTCATAAACACGAGCCTGGAACAGGCTACCCCAGCCTAACAGGTGGATATCCTTTTAACTTAGGATGCTGTTTTTCTCTTATTTTTCTAATCGTGCGCATAAAATTTGCAGCAATATAGGTGTTAAATAATATTGTACGTAGGTTTCGGTCATGATGAGCCATTATATTTTTGATGGTAACCAACACTCCAATGTAAGAACTCCGATGGTCCAATACAAGAATAGTAACTTGCTTTGATGGTTTGTCATGTTAAACAATCAGAAATGTCCAACATAGTTTCTTAGAAATCAAATATTGGAACGAACATGAATAACCAACATCCCAAAGTAGGAATTCGGAGTCATTTATAATGGTTCAGTATAAAAGAAATCGTTTTAATGTGGTATATTCCTGATAACCAACAAGAATTCCCGTTAAACCAGCATGGAAATGTATAGCTGGAACATTAATGTACTATCACGGATCATCATGGTTTGTCGGTCTATGAAAATCAAACTTCTCCTGATAGTTAATCATCCTAGTATTAAAGTATCATTTTCATTATGGTATGATGGAAGCTTGCTGGTATATCAGAAACCATGAATACGTAATGGAAAATGTTAGATGATGGTAACCAACAAATGATGTTGGATCATCACGAATAACACTGAAAGTGACATAAACCATCAAAATGATTTACGGAACCATCTAGAATCCTGACTTGGGTCAGAATATATCTAAAAAAACAGCAGTTTCAGTCCGTGGAAGACTTGAGATGATATTAATCTTTTCTTGAAGACCCAGAAAATGATTCGCAACATTGTGTGTTTCAGGTCGTACAGGATCAATATATTAACATCAGTGACTTTATTACGACTGGAGACACTTTCCCCCCTCTTTTTTACTTATCCGATTTTTTTCTTGCCAAGGACAGGTAGGAGATGAGTTACTGATTGTAAATGTGTGTTTCGATATAGCCTCTCTTAATATTGGTGTTTGGTTCTTAGTGATTTTCCCCGCCTCCAGATATGGCACAAAATCAAAATTGATTTTTTTTTCATGGTGCATTAGTAATCAGCGATCCTACAAACTTATTAAAGGCTTCATAGTATCAAAACGTTTAGACTTCTATCCAGTTTTTTTTATTCACACCATTATCCGGTTGTCCCTAGCAACAATTGTTTTTCCCAAATATGATTCCAATTTACATAATCTTTTAGAGTACTTTTGAAAAAAATGTTTGTTCATACTTACTTCACGAATTTCAGAAACATCCCTAGAAACTTCGTAGAACACGTCACTGCAAGAATTTAGAAAATAATACATATTTATTTCTTTAGTGAATAATCCTTTAAATGTAAATTACATTTTTATAACTCTATTTATATCTATATGTACAGTGAACACATGAAAAAGATATCACCCTGAACAATTTTCATTCTAATGATCGTATTTTCACGTAGTAAAGTTCAATCTTCTGGTTTCTGGGGGAAACACGTAAATGTGCGAATAAACGTTGCTTCGATATTGTGACTATAAAGTTAGTTTTCACTTTGAAATCGAAATTTCTAAACCAGATATTTTGAGTAAAGGAAATTGAATATTTTTTCTTATAAGTTTTGTTTCCACAATTTCAGTATCTTAAAGACCTTACGAACTCTGTTTAGAAAGAGAGTATCGAGTCAGATGTATGCAATAAAATAAATATGACAAATGTAACTGATAGTAATTGAAGAGCATGCAGAGTGTCCTTTTATGATATTAAATAAGTTTCCGTATGTATCGAAGTTTCAGGATGCTATTCGCAAATTATATTTATCTAAGAAAAAAACCCAAGTATCCTAACTATTTGGCAGATTGAGGCAATTTTTTGAAAAAAGGAATTCTACAATATACAGCATACTAATTCAACGTGTTTTTAAATATTACATAGTTCAATGTTTTTTTTAAATGCCACTGAACATCCAGCAATTCTATCAGTTATAGAAAAAGTAAAATTTGGCAAATTATTAAACCTTGTGAATGTACATTTGAATTATCATACAATCTATAATTCTTTAAGTACTTTATTTTTTGTTTCTCTAAGCTTTCTTACCTAGAACACTATCAAAACTGTAAAAATGATTATCTCTAAAATTTTGTATATAGTTAAAATTAATTAAATGTGGTGCATTGGGAAGGAATGGAAATAACAGAATGATATTTATTGGTTTAAAACTTACAAGCAGGCTGGTCCACAGTTTTTAATCTGGCAGTCAGAAATTTCTTTTGACATTTCTGGTGTGATCGTCTCTAAAATGAACAAAAATACTCTTTCATTACGTCAAACAATTACATTTTAATTTTATCAAAAATGAATTTCAACAGTATTCACTGGCACTGATACGAAAGTATAGTTTAAAAATGAAACCCTGTATTTCTGATAAACATAGGGTGTTTCGGAGCACATTTAAAAATGTAAAAACAATCAAATTAATGGCATCTAATATGGAATTCTATTGTAGATATTTATAAACTAGATAGCCTGATTTATAAGCTAGATATTTATTACTTATGCAACATACTTTTCAATTTAATGTTAATTACTAACTGTTCTATTAGCGTATCAAGGTATCGACCTTTTGGACATCAGATATTTTTTATATTTTTTTTCCGATTAGTTATAGCAAGAGCCGCTCGATATGGCAATCACTGACACATCAGGTGACTGCAAACTATGTATTGATGTAAAAACTATTTCCGGTCATATTCGAAGATAATTTTAATCTCTGTTAAAACAACGGAAGTCAGAGTTTTGCATTCCTCTTATGTATCCACAGGCCCACACTAGCTAAAAAAATGTCCCACTGATAGAGATGTGATAAAACACTGAAGTTTTACTATGGTACACCTGTTTCTTGGCTATATTACATCAATGTGCTTACGTACATGAAGAACATAATGTGCAGTGACATCTTGTATGAATCACATGATTCGCTGCACTATTGCCGTAGTAGCAATTCAAGGATCTGTTGTTGAAAAACAAAGAGCGTTGCTACTATCTGGAAGCAATTTCACCCTGCATAGCATAGAAACTCTTAATTCAGATAGGACACATGTAACCTTCTACTTGCTTCTCCTCAAAATTAAAAGTCTGCATGCGATTTTCAAGAGTTTACTCCTCTATTTTAATGTAAATTTTCTTACTATTGATCTCTTTTGTACCCTCTCGGAACTTGTTGGTCGATTTATGGAAGACTCTCCATGTGTTGGATCACTCTAATAATAAGCCTAAAAAAGTAATCAAAATATAAAATTTCTATGTTTTTCTATTTTTTGTTGCTTTGGAAATTGCACTATGGCGCACAATTTTAACCCAACACCGCATTGTAAAAGACTTAATTCATATGTGTTGTTTAGTTTCGTAAGTCAAACATACTCACGTTTAATGTTGAATCCTTTTTTATTTTGTGATGGTCCATAGGCAGTCAAAGTAATATTTGTATAGCATTCCTGAATGCACTCCTAAAGTTTAATTTAATATAAAAAGATTACTTTCTAAGCAGCGTGAGCAAAATATTTTAAATAACATATAGAAAACGAAGGAAAAAAAATCGTTTTGTTTTATTTTCTTTCCCATCCTTCAGTCCCCTCAGACCCATTTTTTGAAATAGTTTGTAAAAACTCTTTTTGAGCTCAAAGAGTAATTTGTTGACATCAATTGCTTTCAAGATTTTTTTTTCACTATTGTTGATGTCACTACAAAATACAAGAGATTTGTAAAAATTGTGATTATTTTTGCTCTGATATCTCACTTAACAGAATTTTTTTATAGTACAAGTTCTCCCATGAATCGCAGTCAAAAGCAGGCGGTATATATTTTAGGGGTCCCAATTTTGACGTTTTCGATGTATTTTTGAATTTTAAGATAGCTAATGTCTGAAAAGTTTTGTTTTAGTTTCCAGAATAGGAAACAAGAAAATTAATTTAAACAATTCGTAAATATTTGTCAATTTGAGTTTTTAAATTTTTTAAATTTTTGGACAGAGTTTTTCTAATATTTTTCTGAAAGCATCGCTCTTTTAAATTTCTTGGCTCCATGAAAATTTTGTCTTGAGACACTCTATTCTGAATAAAGAAAATCACGGTTATTCCATTATTTTTAAACATCCCATACTCTTGTTAGAAAATAGATTTCTTTAAAAAAAAAATATGGTTGACGTATTAGTAGTATACAGCGGCGGAAGTGACGTCATCGTGGAAAGACAAGGGGTGCTTAAAATATGTCGTAATCCAGAAGTTGCTTATTTCTGCCCGTGTGCTTATTTCTGCCCTGTTTTAATTTCGCTTTCTGTTTTTAATATAGTTTCGATTTTGACATTATTTTCATTTATTACAATTTTTAGGGTGGCAACACTTATTAATATTATTTTACTTGTTTAGGGTGGCAATACTTATTAGCTCTGCTATTTGGGATAAATCGCATATTATGAAGTAATTGCGTCATCTTTTATTATATAATAAATAAATGATATCATGCACAGGTTTTACTCTAGTGGAGCCGTCTATGTGGGAATGTTAGAAATAAAATAGCTTTAAAACTATTTTAATATTTAAATCTGTTTTATTATTTATTAAATCTAATTAAAGCTGAGGATCGAACTCATGCCAATCAAAAAGCCTTCGTGGGTCAGTAGTTGGTAATCATAACCACTGACGTACGAATGCTTGCTAAGATATGTGTAAATAAGTTAAGCTTTTGTCTTTTGAACACGTGGATAAATGAAAAGGATTTGATATTGATATCTTCCTACATTTTCATCGATATATTTTCACTTAACCTTTGACAGTTATTAAATAATTATTTCTGCCCTTGTTAAGGCTATTATAACTTTCTCTGGATCGCAACGGTACTGAACATACACGTGTTAAAGTTTGACGCGTTTTGGGAGAAATCATATATTATGAAGTAATGACGCCATCTTTTATTACATAATAAATAAATAATATTATGCATATGCTTTTACTCTAATGACGCCATCTACACTTAAATGTTAGAAAGAGAATATATTATTAACTCTTCATTTTAGTTATTTTTAACATTAATATAGTTGATATAAATGACAGTAATTATTATTAACCTATTTAATATTAATTAATACATTTTAAATAAGTAGATTCAATATTAAAATAAAAATTGTATTTATTATATATGTCTACTGTGAATATTAAAAGTATTAGAAATGAAGGTATATAATTTTAATCAAATAAATATTATATTATAAAATATTTATGAATCAAATATACAATTGTAGATGTTATTTTATTACCGCCGTCCGTAATTACGGCAATCAATGGACCGTTGTCATCTTGAACCCAGAAGACAAGGGAACTCCTAGATCTTTGGACAATATATGTCTTCGAAGAGGACTTTGTGAGGGTCCACGTTATATGAAGAGAAAAACCACGAAAACCTCCTACGTTTAGTCCGATGACAAGTAGGGGACTTGATTTCGTGAAAACTGGACAGATGGCTTTGGTTGCTTCGATTTTTTAGTCTTGCAAGAGCTCCAACACTTATTAATATAGATATTTAAGAAATATAAATTTTACTAATTTTATATTTATTTTATGAAATTAAATATTATCTAATTAAAAAACTAATATATAACAATATATCAAAGTTGTTTATTCATTCATATTTTTGAATACAATAATAAACTTGTTTCATCTTTAAACTTATAATTTATCAACTAACATAATTTAATTATTATATTAAAATACTTATTTTTTTAATCTCATGAAAAAATATTTGAATTAATTTTGTTTTCTATTAGAAAATGAATAACGACCTATTTACATTATATTATCAATTATATAATAAATTTCCTTACGATTTCAAATGAATTATTTTAAATCTAAGAAACACATAATGGGAATTTGTGCCTCTCCAAATTCATTTATATTCAAAGCATATTCCTTTTACTATTGTTTAATATTATAATAATCCTAATAACATACTTTATTTTCAAATTAGGAGTTAATTTAAAAGTATCTATAGCCTTTCTACATGAAAGTATCTATTTAAAGAATACTGATTACAAAACTTGAACATGATATCTATTTCTCAGAAAATTTTACAATGATAATTTCTGTCCGGGACGCATGTAAACACTCTTTACTCACGTAGTATCCTCAAGAGATTTTGAGCGCGCTGATTGGCTTTCTCGGCATTGCCTTCTGTTACATCTTTTTGTAGCTTCTCCCCTATAACATTTCTCTGTAGTTTGTCCTCAAAATGTAAATCAGTCATAAATCAGTTCCAGTATATTTTTCATACTAATTTTAAGACAAATGTTAAAGTTCTGTTCAAAAAATTAAATAGCGTCATTAATTGTATTTTAATAATAACACATTTATTTAAATCTAATTTGCTTTAAATTTTATTCTAATATTTTTCTTTATTTGTTTAAAATATTTTTTGTACGCTTCAGTATAATATTTTTTAATATTAATGTTATGAAATTTAGGTAAATGCAAGGTAAACCATCATGTTTTGGTAAAACATCAAATTAGTATAATAATAATTATTAAACATAAATATAAGTTTTATTAGCTAGCTTTTATGTAATGTATATATAAGAATTGATTAATATTCACATTGAATAGCATTATGAATATCCTTATGCACTTAAAAATTAAAATTTCTTACTTAAATTTATTAGTATGATTGCAGAACCACTCAGTTAAATTTGAATTTATTATATGAGATTTTAAAGTGTATATAAATAAATTTTTAAAATTATGTTCGATTATTTGAAAAAGATTTTATCATATCTTGGAGGAAAATATTCTGAAATGTTAAAAAAAAAATTTAATTATAATTCAGCAGAAAAATTTTAGAATATTCATAATTAATAAAATTTATTTTCTAGCAAGTATCATATAACAAGTTTATAAAGTACAATAATCTGATTTCCTTGTTGAATTTCTGTTCAACTTCACTTTTATAGATATTGTTGCTTGACAATCGGAATTTTTTGAAAAACTTCTTTTACATTTCTCCTGCGGCACTTTCATAAACGCACTGTTGGTGCCATTCAAATAATTTCCTCCAATTAAATAATAAAAAATTATATTTACAATCCAATAGATATGTACTAGAATTAAAAGATGGAATTATTTGTAAATTTATTCTTTTATTACTCATGGTATTAATTTAACGGACAATTCATAATCATTAACTTTTATTTTGATGGGAATTATCAAAAATTGCAATCAAAAACTAATAAAATAAGCATCTTAAAAGACAA